AAGAAATAATAACCCTGTTTATGATTATACATTGAAAGAGAAAAAAATACTATCAAAAAAGTGTTCTAATGTTTAAGTGTATATGTGTGTTCTAGCTAATTTATTAGAGTATTATGGGTATCATAAGGTACAAGTTGATTCAGTATATACCGATTTTTCCAAAACGTTCGATAAGGTAAACCATAAGTTGCTTATATTCAAGTTGAAAAATCTCGGTTTTTGCAATAAAACTTTGGACCGGTTATCTTTATTTTTTTCTGATAGGTCAGCAAGTTCATATTGGTGATTATCGTTAAGTTTTGATTTATCATCTTGTTTTAGATATTCTAATTTCTTATTCTACGCTGGTGATCTGAATATCTTTAAAACAATTCAGTCTGTTAACGATGCATTGGAGTTACAACTTGATCTGGACACCTTATGATTGAACACACTTCCTAGAGGAAGTAAGTTATTGTCTTAAGCAACTAAGCAAAAGACACTCAGGGCTCCCGAGCTTCTTAAGCAACTAATCAATTAAGCAACTAAGCAAAAGACACTCGGTGTTCCCAAGATTCTTAAGCAAATAAACAAAAGACACTCAAGGCTTCCGAGATTCTTAAGCAACTAAGCAAAAGACAGTCAGGGCCCTCGAGATTCTTAAGTAACCAAGCACAAGACACTCAGGGCTTCCAAGAATCTTAAGCATCTAGGTAAAAGACACTCAGGGCTCCCGTGATTCTTAAGCAACTAAGCAAAAGACACTCAGGGCCCCCGAGATTCTTAAGCAACTAAACAAAAGACACTCAGGAGCCCCGAGATTCTTAAGCAAATAAGCAAAACACACTCAGGGCCCCTGAGATTCTTAAGCAAATAAGCAAAACACACTCAGGGCTCCCGAGACTCTTACGCAACTACGAAAAAGACACTCAGCCCCCCCGAGATTCTTACGCAACTAAGCAAAACACACTCAGGGCCCCCGACATTCTTAAGCAACGAAGCAAAACACACTTAGGGCCCACGAGATTCTTAAGTAACCAAGCACAAGAAAATCAGGGCTCCCAAGAATCTTAAGCACCTAGGTAAAAGACACCCAGGGCTCCCGAGATTCTTAAGCAACAAAGCAAAGACACTCAGGGCCCCTGAGATTCTTAAGCAAATAAGTTAAACACACTCAGGGGTCCCGAGATTCTTAAGCAACCAAGCACAAGACACTCAGGGCTCCCAAGAATTTTAAGCATGTAGGTAAAAGACACTCAGGGCTCCCGAGATTCTTACGCAACTAGGCAGAAGACAGTCAGGCCGCCCGAGATTCTTACGCAACTAAGCAAAACACACTCAGGGCCCCCGAGATTCTTAAGCAACTAAGCAAAACACACTCAGGGCCCACGAGATTCTTAAGCAACTAAGCAAAAGACACTCAGGGCCCCCCAGATTCTTAAGCAAATAAGCAAAACACACTCAGGGCTCCCGAGATTCTTAAGTAACCAAGCACAAGACACTCAGGGCTCCCAAGAATCCTAAGCATCTAGGTAAAAGACACTCAGCCCCCCGAGATTCTTAAGCAACTAAGCAAAACACACTCAGGGCCCCCGAGTTTCTTAGGCAACCAAGCACAAGACACTCAGGGCTCCCAAGAATTTTAAGCATGTAGGTAAAAGACACTAAGGGCTCCCGAGATTCTTACGCAACTAAGCAAAAGACACTTAGGCCCCCCGAAATTCTTAAGCAACTAAACAAAACACACTCAGGGCTCCCGAGATTCTTAAGCAACTAAGCAAAAGACACTCAGGGCTCCCGAGATTCTTAAGCAACTAAGCAAGACACACTCAGGGGCCGCGAGATTCTTAAGCAACCAAGCACAAGACACTGAGGGCTCCCAAGAATTTTAAGCATGTAGGGAAAAGACACTAAGGGCTCCCGAGATTCTTACGCAACTAAGCAAAAGACACTCAGGCCCCCCGAAATTCTTAAGCAACTAAACAAAACACACTCAGGGCTCCCGAGATTCTTAAGCAACTAAGCAAAAGACACTCAGGGCCCCTGAGATTCTTAAGCAATCAAGCACAAGACACTCAGGGGTCCCAAGAATCTGAAGCATCTAGGTAAAGACACTCAGGGCCCCCAAGATTCTTACGCAACTAAGCAAGAGACACTCAGCCCCCCGAGATTCTTAAGCAAATAAGCAAAACACACTCAGGGCTCCCGAGATTCTTACGCAACTAAGCAAAAGACACTCAATCCCCCGGAGATTCTTAAGCAACTAAGCAAAACACACTCAGGGCCCCCGAGATTCTTAAGCAACTAAACAAAAGACACTCAGGACCCCCGAGATTCTTAAGCAAATAGCTAAAACACACTCAGGGCCCCTGAGATTCTTAAGCAAATAAGCAAAAGACACTCAGGACCCCTGAGATTCTTAAGCAAATAAGTAAAACATACTCAGAGGTCCCGAGATTCTTAAGCAACCAAACACAAGACACTCAGGGCTCCCAAGAATTTTAAGCATGTAGGTAAAAGACACTTAAGGCTCCCAAGAATCTTAAGAATCTAGGTAAAAACACTCAGGGCTCCGAGATTCTTAAGCAACTAAGCAAAAGACACTCGACGATTAAGCACGTATAGAATTCGCAAACGTCTCCCCATATGTCCATTAATCAGGTTTACCTAAATACGATGGTATCATATGGCTAAAAAAGAAGGTTTAAAAAAAATAAAATCGAGGTGGATTCATAAACTACAAGCTCAGAGGTATAATATTTTGTAAAATTTGAATCGTGTTGACGAGGCAAAGTTTAAAATGACGTCATTAAAATGTTGGTGGAGATGATAGGACAAAATTTTTCTTATCGATTTTTTATTCACACGATATTCCTTACAATCCTTTCATCGATATAAACTATAATATATAATGTATAATATAATAAATATAGTATAAGACAAGAGTTTTGTAGAAACGATTTTTTCCTATCGAATCCTTTGAGCTGGCCTGGAGAGGTGGCGAAGGTGTGGATTGTGTAACGTATTATTTTAAAGATGAGAAGATAATTCGTGGATTGAGTATAATCCCAGTTTTGCTAAAACCGCACAAGGTGGGACGAAGAAATGTACGGATAGTAAGTGGTTGGTACAGAACAAAGATGATGAAACTGTTTGTCCCGTCAACTTTTTTAATAAGTCATGGACAAAAAAGAAACAAAATTATAATAACAGATCGTCTATTCCTAACCCCAAATCCGTTCCGGAGAAACCATAACTCTAAAGGCTGGCACAAAAACGTGCCACGTAGTATAAATATAATTTCAAAATGGATCCAAAATTTGACAAGGCTCATTGGACGTGATATCAAAATGAAAAAAATTACGGATCGCTGGGCAAGTGCGGTAAGTCAATTATCTAAAGCTAGAGGTTATGACCAGGAACTTTTTAATTACAGGACTCAGGACATTCAAACTCTTCTTTAATTGACCCTTATCTCCAACCTGATTCTACACATCACGAAAATTTAATATCAAATTTAAAATACGAGGCGTCCTCAAGTTCAACAGTAACTTAAAATGACATTTTAACAATTCCTTTGAATTCCTGTTACAAGTCCGAAAATAATAATTTCTGGTAATCGGGTCTTCAATGATAGTTCTTTTTAATTGTTAAGAACGTTGTTTTTGTGTTTGAGTAACAACATTATTTTGAATCTTGTGTTTTTCACATCATTCTGTTGTCATGGAATTATCTCACTGAATTATGCTCGGGCTATTTATTTCTAACCAGATAGATTATCATTATTTTACAAACTCAATCAATAATAATACTTGATTTTGTTCAAAATTTTCAACGACCGCAACAACCAATAAATTTTTGACAACAAAGGGATTCTGCATTCTTCAATAAACCTAAATACAAAATTGAAAAAAATCGGCCTAAAAATAAAGGAAATACAAGTACTGAAATTTTTAGGTGAAACACCCGGTATACACATCCAATGAAGTGCAAGTTGTTAAAAACGTTCTGACAGAGATTGTAAGGCAGTATCTAATATGAAAAAATATCTTCTACAGAGCTCCTGCCACATCTGTTTTCCTTCACTTCTCACTCTTTCTACTTCCTTTTAGACGTATCCAGTATCTGAGAGTGTGTTCTTTCTTCTCCTCGCTCTTCGTATTTTACAACTTTTCTTCCCACTTTTAAGCAAAGCTTTGACATATTGGACATTTCTTGCATACCTACTGTAATTTAATTTTATTCACTTAAAAATTAATTAATCTTGTACCAATTTTCCTTGTAACTTCACAGTTATTTTAATAAAAACCTTATTAAAAAGTGTCCACCATTTCCGGTTTTATATTTATCATTTATCAATGTCGTTTAATCATGGACATGCTAAATCCTTTCCAAGGATAATTAACTTATACATTTACAACGTTGCAAACTTTGCACTCTCTCCAGTTTTAGAAACCAGAGCATAACTGAACTAAATCGACGAACTTAACACCCATTACTTGAATCTCGAAGCCATCACTTAAATTTTCCGGCGTTTTAGCGCATCTAACATCTAGTGCAGCCATTATTTTCAAATAAAACAAACGCAACCGGTACGTGTCCTGATTAGATCACAATCAACCCCATAACGTCACCACTAAGGGCTAAAAATACCAATTATAAATTTTTAATTTGTAATCGTCATCGTTCGACGCAAATAATACTCATAATCCACAACGAATTGTGTCAATCGATACTAACGTGGGCTGCTACAAATTCGAGATAAAATATTCATAGATATGCCTACCCACTTAGGAAGTTTGATGGCCATGTCATTTGATCATGCATATTTTAAAAATGTTTTCTTTCACGGTAATTGAGGGACTTTTAATTATAAACAACCACAAAAAGATGGATTTTATGATTCATCTTTAGCAACAAATTACAGGTTTATAGAGCGTACATGCGACATTTCGCGCTCTGGTAATCGCATACTCGCTGAAGAATTTTCTGTCGCAAAATGTGCACTAGTGTAACCTTGACCAAGACACGAGCTAAACATGTTATTGGTGTTGGCTCTGGTACTACCTATAGTGTGTTCAAGTGATATCGTTCAGTTCGACTGGAATACGATGCCAAATTTTAACGAAGAGGAACAGTACAACGACCGAATTGACAACGCCAAGGACCTGATCAGCTTGGATTTGAAAAACGACAACTTAGAATCGGAATACGGAGTCTTCGTCGACGAAAGACCGACGTTCCAAACACAGAAGAACCGAACGAGAAAACGCAACAAAATTCAAAAGCAGACGCATATTCAAAAAGTTTCGAATGCACCGGAACACTCCGTTAATGGTAGTACCAAGCAACGAATTAACCTGCTGCTTAAAAATTATTTGTCGAAACTATACGCACAGAAATTTCACAAAAAAGCCAACCACGAAAGTAAAATCTTCACTGACTCCTTTTGGCAATTCAACAACAAAACCAAGAAATTTAAAAACAAGTTCTTGAGTTTGTTTCATATTGTTCAGTTCGCCAATTCGCAGTGTCAGTCCACTAGTACTGCAGGGGACTATTTAGGTACTTGTTACACCGAAAGTGAGTGTGCTACCATGAACGGTACCAGTGTTGGGGCTTGTGCGGAAGGTTACGGCGTCTGCTGTGTGTGTAAGTACTACAAAACTGTCATTCTTAAAAATAATATAACTTTAGTTAGGTACTCTTGTGGTGCAAGCTCCAGTCAAAATTGCACGTACTTCGAAAGTCCAGGTTACCCAGATTACGACCCTCCTGGGTCCATGGTACTACCTCCAACTACTGCACCTCCTCCTACAACAGCTCTGCCAACACCGGATCCTCGATTAAAGTACTTCTATAAATTACGACGATTTAGCAGACAAGCGGATACAAGTTTGGCTTGTGCTATCAATATTTACAAACAGTCGGATAATATTCAGCAGATGAGGATTGATTTTATTGATTTGGAACTGAAAGGACCGACGGATGGTACTTGTGTGACTGAACGCTTGGTAATCAGTGGGCAAAATGTGAACGACCAAGTACCAGTAATTTGTGGATATAATACCGGACAACATGGTACTAGAAGCTAGTTTTTTCGTAGTAGGTGTTTATTTCTGTTTTGTAGTGTACGTCGATGTTTCGTCTCTCACAGGACCTTTGCAGTTGTCGGTCTTATCAACTGTCGCTGACCGAAAGCGGTTTAAGATCAGAGTGTGTCAGATTGCCAATTCTTGTAGTAATTCTAACAACTGTTTGCAGTACTATACGGGAGCTACTGGGATGATATCTTCGTTTAATTATGACCAGGCCGCTTTGATTAATAGGAGCGAACCAGGGTATTTTGTAAGTTGACAGTGATATGAAATTTTATGACATATTTTAAACTTTCAACGAAAACAATCACAAAGTCGTTCTTAAATGACCCAGTTTAGTATAAAAGTCCAGCTCTCCTTGACATGTTTATGCTCGTCTCTGTCTGTTTTTCTTAATCTTAGTCACAATTTAAATACGAAATATAAAGTAATCGGAATTTGATTTTAGAATAATCTAAATTATGCAATCTGCATACGAAAAGAAGCCGGTTATTGCTCCATAACCTACACCAACAGTCCTGCCGGCTTAGAGTATCCATTCCAGTTGAGCAACGTGGATGAGAGTAAGACGACCTTGTTGACGTTGTACTTGACCTTAATTTGTGTTTATTATTATTATTGTTTTTCAGATGACGAAAGCACTGTGCCTCCAGGTCAGGCAGGAGCTGAAATATTCAGTTGTCCAGACGACTATATTGTTATTGGTGGAATTAGACTGTGTGGAGACAAACTCAATGATGGGTCATTGATAGAAGACTTCACGATGAATGCGCCTGTGACAGGTATTTCTTAATCGACGTCTCAATTATGCATTGACAATTTTATTACAGATACTAGTGGAGGACCTATCGTAATTCCCGTTAGAACTGATGATTCAGTGACTGGTCGTGGGTTTAAGTTGTTTTATACACAAAATAGGTGCCCCAATACGTAGTGTTATTTATTTATCGTATTTATTCTTGTCTGTGTTAAGGAATTAAATAAAAATGCAAGCTAAGATTATTTAATTAAAAAAAATAATCATAATTTAGTCATTACTAAGTTAAATGCAGACAGATAAGTGACATTTGACCTGACATCATTTTCTATGCTTATATGTACCAATTTTTCTCGGCTTGTTGTTATTTCATTTTTTGATTATTTGTGTTGTATTCTATTGGATTCTGTGTGGAAAAGTTTCGAGAAAAATTTCCTGACTTTGCCGCAACTTCGAGAAATTTTAAATATTTCAAAAATAATTTTTTACGACGAAAACAACTTATTTAATTCCACTGAAATTACATCTGTGGCACTTTAAATTCTTAGAATACCGAGAAACGTTATTCAGCCCCACTATTTACCGAGTTTATCTGTTTGTATAAATAATTCGTAAACATAGTAATCTACCATCAGCTTCCGAAAAACTCGCACTATTAAAACATGTTGATTCTGAGTCATACCGATACCTCGAGATGATGTCGTAAATAAATATTGTAATACACTTTGGTACCAAAATTACTTACTTGTGGAACAATGATACAATTGCTTTAATACACAGCAATTTCTTCAAGAAGTTTAAAACTCGCGGTTCAACGAAAAAAAAATTATCAAATACTAATGCATTATAGACGACCAGTGTAACAAGAGTGTATTTAGAATAGTAGCATTTCGAACAATAATAATCTCTATGTACAGTGGGAAATGGACTTTGAAACAATATTTCACAGTAAAGAGCATAAGATAATAAATTAAACAAAAGGAAGTCCAACATTCAATTTAATCAAAAAATTTGGACACGTAAATCACATTAAAATATATTTACATTTTGAAAATGTAATTATATTTAATTGAACAAAAATCACAAAAATTGGGCAGTGAACGAATTAAATTACAGTTTTCGTTTTCACGTAAAAAATCATCTTAGTTTTAAAAAGTTGGTGATTTTAGGAAAGCGTTTTAATTATATTATACAAGGTTACGATAAAGTAATGTACCAAATTCATCAAAAGCGTAGCATTTGTTTTTGAAAAGAATGCAAAAACATGTGAAGTTTTTATTTTATTTTCCATGTTTTGACATATGTATGTCTAAAAAATTTTACGCCAAATCTGTAAAAACTATGACACTATCGTATCCATTAGTTTTTTAAATAATAGGAATTTAAGCAAGTAAGATTTCGATTGCATTATTTGTTAAAAGTTTATTTTTCTGCATATGAAAATGTAGTTTGAGTAGGGGTTGCATAAGAAAAAAATTGACAAAATTAATAACAAACAAAATAAACTTGATTTTAATGACGAATATTAAATATACAGAACTATACGTAGGAGTCAAAATTTATGCTATAGAACTTGTTCAAACTGTGCCCCATTCACTATCTGGCACAAACCGAGACGATAGTAGACCTGATTGACGGAATTTTCAACGCTCTGGTGACTTATACGAGTCATTTCATGACGAAGTCGTGCTTTCAAGTCGTTTAAATTATCGCGACACGACATTTTAAATGTCCCCATAACAAAAATCAAGGGGTGTCATATCCGGGACACTTTCCATCAAATTGATTATCCAAAAAAAACCCTTACAGACGGACACACAGGGGGACAGACAGACGGACAGACAGACAGACAGACAAAAACGGGAGACCTATTTCTGCGTTCTGTAGGGGTTATGAAAGGTCGAGAAAACGTAAAAGTAGAGAGTCGGTCGACGGATTCTATTACAATATTTCCTTCGCTTATGCTCGGCAAGTAAAAATTTAGCCCTGCATCTCAAAAATAAACGAAGTACTTATAAACTTTGAAGAAATTGCAGAAAACAAAACTTGAGTATTCCTAGGGGCGGCCCAAATTTCAAAGATATTCAACAAACCGTTCTTACGATATTCAACTGCTTCCATACTTTTTAGCAACTCTGTAGTAGTCGATTGACATTTTAAAGGGGCTCAAATATAAATTTCTAATAATTAATTTAATAATTTTGAAACCATATTTGTAATGTATTAATTAAGGCGTAGATTAAGTGTACAGTAGGTTAAGTAGGAAGTAGGTCAATAGTAAGATGTTATGGAATGCGACTGCGCATAGCGTAGGTACTGATGTTTCTTGCAAGGACTCGTTCTCTTTGAGACAGACAGTCGAATAGGTAAGACATAAACTTGTAAGCAGTTTAATAAACACAAATCAACACGTGCTCGTTTTGTTAATACCTATCACTGGCGACGAGGATTAAAAAGAAGAACAACGAAGATGATTGGTTCGATACAAAATTTCAATCCGCGTGTGGACAGCTGGATTTTATACCAAGCACAGCTCGAGCAATACTTCGAAATAAATGACATCAAGGACACGGAAGCATCTAAGAAGCGAGTAGCGGCGTTGATCAGTTTAATTGGCCAAGATACTTACAAGATACTCAGAGACCTGTGCACACCAAAAGCCCCTAAAGACAAGACGTACGAAGAGCTCTGCAACCACTTGAAGAAGCATTTTTCTCCGACCACGTGCGTTTTCAGAGAGAGGTTAGAATTCTACGACGCGAAGCAGTTGGAAGAAGAGACCGTGAACGATTGGCACGTGCGAATACACAATCTCTCAACGAATTGCGACTTCGGTGCGGACCTGGGGAACGTCCTCAAAGACAAATTCGTGTGCGGTATGCGAAAGGGCCCAATTCGAGACCGACTGTGCGAGGAAAAGCCGAGCAAATCACTAGAAAATCTCTTGGAAATCGCACTAGCGAGAGAAACCACCATCAAGGCTGACAAGGAGATTAATCTGGTCCGAAAAGAAAGGTGGAATCCAGAATTTTCGGGCAACGCAAACAACACGTCAGGAGTACTCGAAGGACGCAGAAATGGGAACAATCCAAGGAGGTGGTCTTGTAAGGCATGTGGAGCCGCACATACAGGGAACCAGAGGTGCAAATACGCAACGTACAAATGCAACTCTTGCCATAAAGTGGGTCATTTAGCCAAGGTCTGTAGGTCAAGAGCTACACAAAACGCCATAGAAGCGGAAGAAGATTTTGAAGAGGCACAAATTTTTAATTTAGACTTTCAAGTGGAGGAACCAATGAAGCTGCAGGTCAGTGTAAACAATGTGAGGTTGCCAATACAGATCGACTGTGGAGCAACCTTATCCGTCATAACAGAGGAGTGTTATAACCAGTATTTTAAGACTGCATGCCCATTGTTTAAAAGCAGACTTAAATTAAAATCATACTCGGGAGATACTGTTGCCAATAAGGGCTACATAAAGGCTACGTTAAGGTACAAAAATGTGGTACAGAATGATTTTATATTTCATGTGGTAGATAAGACAGGGGACAACAATTTGTTAGGCCGGGACTTTTTAAGCAAATTCAAATTTACATTAAGAAATAACGATTGTGAAATTAATAGCTTAGACACCGATACAAAAATTTTTGCCGATGAATTTAATAATCTATTTTCAGAGCAATTGGGATGTTACAAGCACAGGACGTTTATACTAGAACTAAAATCCGACAGCACCCAACCCATTTATCATAAACCTAGAGCCCTACCCTTATCCTATAAATCAAAAGTGGAAGCAGAACTACAGCAGTTGGAAGAGAAAGGTGTAATTTCTCCCATTGAGCACGGAGATTGGGGGACACCAATTGTTCCGGTATTAAAGGCAAATGGTAGCATCCGAATTTATGGCGATTACAAAGTGACGGTGAACAGGCATCTCAGGGAGGTGAAATACCTCTTGCCTAGAATAGAGGAAATATTTATGCAGTTGAATGGGGGTGAATCGTTCACCAAGATTGACTTAAGCGACGCATACAATCAGTTAGTCGTGGACCAGGAATCAGCCAAATTACTGGCATGGAGCACGCACAAGGGTCTATACAAGGTAAATAGGCTCCCCTTCGGGATCGTACCAGCAAGCGCAATATTTCAGCGCACATTAGAACAAACGTTAAGCGGACTCGGAGGGGTGACCAACTTTTTAGATGACATACTAGTCACTGGAAAGACCAGGCAAGAGCACAAAAACAACCTGAGGCAAGTGTTCCTAAGGCTGAAAGAGGCAGGCTTTGTGTTGAAATTATCAAAGTGCGAATTTTTCAAAAATGAAATAAAATACTTAGGATATGTAATCTCAAGAGAGGGTTTAAAAACCAATAAGGACAAGATCAGAGCCATGCTTGAAGCACCCAGGCCAAAAGATGTGCGGCAGGTAAAGAGTTTTGTTGGCTTAGTAAATTACTACAGCAGGTTTGTACCAGAATTTGCGGGAATAATGAGGCCTCTTTACGAGCTGTTAAAAAGCGACAGGAAATTTGCTTGGGATCAGGGTTGCGAAAAAGCATTCAACCTCATCAAACAAGAAATAGCGTCAGATAGGGTACTAGAGCACTTCGACCCTTCACGACCGATAATTCTATCAACGGACGCCTCACATTATGGAATTGCAGCCACCTTATCACACAAGACGACGAATGGGGACTTAAAACCAATAGCCTTCATTTCCAGGACGCTAAGCAAGGCAGAAGGCAATTATTCGGTTCTTGATAAAGAGGCTTTGGCGATTTACTGGGCGATATCAAAACTCAGGACATATCTTCTAGGGCATAGCTTTGAAATACACACGGATCACAAGCCACTAATCTACCTCTTCGGAGAGCAAAAAGGAATACCACAAATGGCATCAGCTAGATTCCAACGGTGGGCACTCTATCTGTCCGGATTCCAATATAAAATCAAATACGTCAAAGGCCAGGAGAACAGTGTAGCTGACATGTTGTCAAGACATCCACTGTACTCAGAAACACCAGGTGAGTCTGAGGAGGTTACGGAGACAACACACCTCAACCTAGTAATTGCAGAGGGAATGCTGAGTAAGATCGTAAAGTTCGTAACTGAGGGGTGGCCAGAGCAAAAAACAGACGATTTCCTAAAACCGTTCGTCCAGAGGAAAGACGAGATAACCTGCGAACAAGGATGTCTGATGTGGGGCTACAGAGTAATTGTGCCCAGAAAGCTGCAGCACCACCTGTTAGAGGAACTACACAGCAGTCACCTGGGTATTGTCAAAATGAAATCAATAGCCAGAGCCTATTTTTGGTGGCCGAATTTGGACAAGGACATTGAGAACATAGCTCGTAGCTGCATTCCATGCAATAAAGTCGCAAGGGAACCTCAGAAAGCGATCCCAATTCCGTGGAATAGACCAACGCGTCCGTGGCAAAGAGTGCACATCGATTTCCTTGGACCGATTAATAACAGCCACTACCTCATTATGTTGGATGCTTATAGTAAATGGCCTGAAATTTTTAAAATGAACTCAATCACGTCCGCTGCAACAATTAGCAAAATCAGGGAAACATGTGCAAGATGGGGAATTCCAGAGACTTTGGTGTCAGACAACGGCACACAGCTCACATCAGAGGAATTTTCAATTTTCTTAAAAAGAAATGGAATAAGGCACGTTACCGGACCGCCGTACAAACCAGAGACAAATGGAGCAGCAGAAAATGCAGTAAAGAGTTTTAAGAAAGGCTTCAAGGCAGCGCTTTTAGACCAAAGAAACCGACACGTTTCGACAGACACTCTTGTCAGCAGGTATTTATTCTGGTATAGAAATTCCACGCACTGTCAAACGAATGAAACGCCAGCGAAATTGATGCTGGGTAGACATCTTCACACGACGCTCAACTTAATGAGACCTGACACAAATCGAGACACAGAAAGGCAATTTAACCATAAAGGTCGAGATTCTCCAACATTTGAGAAGGGAAGTATAGTTTGGATTCGGGATTATCGGAAGCCTAATACCAAAACTTGGCAGGAAGCAAAGGTCATCGACATACTGGGACCACGAAACTACACGTGCGAGTTACCAGATGGACAAAAATGGAGGAGACACGTTGACCAAATGAGAAAAAGAATTGAAGCACCAAGCACTGAGGACAGCAAGTCAGAGGCAGTACAACCAGCGAATACAAACCAAGAAGTACCACAAAGGAAGATGCCTGGGGAACCAACAATGCCGTCAGCCACACGGCCACCACCAGAACAAACACCATCTCTCGAACCGCAACCCAATCCTATTCCAGTCATTCCGGTACGCGATAGACCAAAGCGTTCTTGTAACATCCCAGCACGTTACAGAGATTAGGAATTAATATTAGGCGCATTCGGGTTTTTTTTTAAATGTACTAATCTTAAATGGGGGGATATGTAATGTATTAATTAAGGCGTAGATTAAGTGTACAGTAGGTTAAGTAGGAAGTAGGTCAATAGTAAGATGTTATGGAATGCGACTGCGCATAGCGTAGGTACTGATGTTTTTGCAAGGACTCGTTCTCTTTGAGACAGACAGTCGAATAGGTAAGACATAAACTTGTAAGCAGTTTAATAAACACAAATCAACACGTGCTTGTTTTGTTAATACATATTAATATTTCACACTAAAGGGCTGTAATATAACATAATAAATTACTCAATAGGATGTCTAACATTTAAATTAAGTCACAATTTTTTTTTCTTAAAAATGTACTTACAATTGCGTTATATTTAGTTGAATAGAAATTACAAATTTCATTGGCAAACATTATCTTAGTTTTAAAAAAGTTGATTATTTTAGAAAATCAGAGACAAAAACATCGTGCTTTCATTTATATTATATAAAATGTTGAATGCGGATGATTTTAAAGTAGGTATTTTTGAAGACTTAATATAAAATATACTGACTGACAAAATTAAAAGAACCCCAAGAAGGAATGATGATTTTGTACTGCAATTGTGGCGACACAATAATAAGTAGTGGTAAGTGAAGAAAGATAAGCTCCTCCGTAGTCTAGTGGTAAGGGCACCCGCCCGGGAAGCGGTAAACGTGCGGTTCGTACAATAATCTCCGGAGAAGCAACATTTTTCTTCGCTTACCCTACATGATTTTATATATAGGCTAGGGGTTGTCAAAATAGGAATTAATCAGAATTTTAATTAAGTTTTAACTAATACTTATTTGCTCTTAATATCACAGCGTACCTCCTCTTATCTTAGATAATATCAATAAAGCTGATATCCGACGAACAGCATAATTTTTATCCTTGGAATTGGATCCGCACATGTTCCCTGAAATGCTAGGTTTAACCTGGCCTCTAAAGGGCTGCATTCTACAACAGTGTTTAATGTTAAGTAATTTTAACTGTCGATAAATTAAAGGAAGTATTATATAATCGCGTCCATCGGACGACTGACTGCTTTCATATTTTCTCAGCGTTTCATGACCTCTAGATTATGAAAAAAGTGGTCTCCCGTTTCAGTCTGTCCCGAAGTAATATACTCATGTACTTGTAGTTTACGATTCTACCTTGACCAATTTCACAGAAACCAAATTTACAATTGGTCAAAAATGCCAACATCTTTTGAATTATCCATTTTTTGCATTTTTACTTCCCGAATGTAAAAAATAAAAATAAAAATAAAAATAATGTTTTCTCGACCTTTCATGACCCCTGCAGTACGAAGAAATAGGTCTCCTGTATCTGTCTGATGTCTGCCCGGATTTGTATTAGACAGATAATCTCTGAAACTACTACTGATTGTTGTCAAATTTTGCATATACACATACTTGGAATATCATGTAGACAGTAAAACGCTAACCAAAATTTGGCTAACCAGCCCCACCACCAATGGGATGACGTCATCTCCAAAATTTACATTAGTAACTTGTGATTTATGAATGCACTAATACTTTTTAGAATTATTTATACAGGGTGATTCAAAAAAATTAATGAATTAGTCCATTTATTTTATTGATTAAATTAGGTGAACCCCATCCTTTGAAAATTTGTAGACGTTTTAAAGTTATCGTACACATGGTAAATTTTTAATCAAAAAATATATCTGTTTATCCCCCCAAAAAACTGATGATGTCATCTCAAAATTTTTCCGAATAAATTCTGTCGAAAATGTGCAAAATATAATGAGTTTATATTTGTGATGTATCATTGCGTTCAAACTTTTTGAAATAGTTATAGCGTGAATCATAAAAATTACATAAACTTAAGTTCGATTTCCCCGAAAATTTGGGAATACAATACTGTTACCATTAGTATAACACTGCACCTATATAAATTGATGGATCTTACTGTCCTTGCAAAAAAGTTAGTGACGTCTTCTCAAAATTGTGATAAGGGAAAACTCGTTTGAAACATATGCGCAGTATGCTTTTTTACATTTACTTTAACATTACATACATAACTTTATTTTAACTCATATGTATATAAAGGTTATCATAAAAAAATTCCTAATCAAATTTTATTATTCTTCGAAAAGGTTAGATTTGTTTGATTTTACCTCAGGGACAAGGCAAGTTCTATAGAAATAACAATCGACTCAATTTTTTATCGTTTTACTTGCTTGTTATGAAGAGGCATGTTATGGTAATTGTCCAATTTTATGCAGACATGATTATCATAAATCAAAAATAATTATTGTTGAAATTCTATTTTAAACTTTTAAAAACTGAGTACACGAAAAAATAGCATGTTCAATGAATAAGGAAAGTATGTTTTCAAAAATCGTGCATTAAACCTTTTACACTCAATGGAAAACAACCACTCTTCCTTACTTATTCTTATTAAACAATCTACTATTCATTTTAATCCACAACTTTTATTTTGACGCAAAATTCCTTGTTTTAATTTAAAATTTACGTAATACAGTCACTTGATTTTTGGTTAGAATCGTTCTATAAAGGTTGTAGAAACTTTTAACATCGAAGCCAATGTGTTTCTTGAACGTTTTCAATACAAAATAAAAATAAGTAACTCCAAATTACCCCTACTCGGTAATAAATTTGGAACGTCGAGGTTTATTTTTTCTGAAGGACATTTTGATTTTTATTAGAATATGTAAGATCTAAAATATTTTACAAACAAACCCCTTATCATTCGAGAAAAATAGGAAAAAATACACATTAATAAAAAAGTTACTCAGAAAAATTCGTTAAAATCGTTTCACATACCTATACCCAAATTATTTACAAAAATTTTTTGAAAAAGTGCCAGCACTCCAGAATGAAAATATAAATGAATTTAGTCTACCGTTCTTTAATTTAGTGGTAATATTTGGGAAAAATTTCGAAAAAAGTGTAACATTAAACTTGGTTAATTACATTTGGAGAACAGTTTTTCCAAAGAATCAATACAAAGATGTTTATTTTAACATTTTATTATTGTCCTTGCAATAACTGTAATGGAATCTGCTGCAGACAACAGCTAGACGTAAACTGATAAACCCGTTGTCGTATTCTACGCTTCGTTAAAACACAAAAATACGAAAACAAACACTCTTTAAATAAAGAATCCAATCTTTGCTTCTTTTGACTCTAACTCAGAAAGCAAAAACAAAATGATTTAAAGGACTTTGGTTTAAAATTGAAATAATTTCCGACGCAGTGTAGTACTGTGACGAAATTATTTTATCAGCGCCACTGATACCGAGTTAGAAAATTCACATGAATATGCGTAGGCACTTCCTCTAACTTCATCACAATATTTCAAACGTTTCGACTGCAATCCCTAATCACTACGTAATTCTTTACCCGAATACAAACATTATTCTCCATCAAACATGTAAGTATTTTATTATTCTACTTTTAACGATTAAAACACAGTAAATTGTACTATAATTTGAGATTAGAAATAAAGTTTCATTTGACAGTTCTGTACCAAATATTGTATCGTGGTGTTGTGGGTTCTATTTCAATTTTGATGATTCGTCTCATGTAGAGACATTTTTCAGTGTTTGGCGCATAATATGATATTCATAATACAGCGTTGCCAACTGTAGTGCTAAAACAGAGGCAACTCTGATCTACATTTTTTCAGAGGTTATGTTAATCTTATTGCAGCTATGTTGAAACGGCAGTACTTTATGTTGTGCACAAGATGTTATGATGACTTGGGTATGAGGTAATGGTGGAATTTTGGAAAAAATTAAAGCATTCTTGGTTTAGTCGATCAAATTAAAATAAAAATATGCTACTAATGAAGTGCAAAAACTCTAAGTTGTAAATTATTGCGTGTACTTATATTTTGGAAAATTCAAAATTCTACAATTAATTTTACAACGACAAAACCTTTTACCAGCAATAAAATTTGAAAATATTATCAATTTTGTTTGTGTTTCAGGGCCATGTGGTTGGTGAAATTTGTACTTTTCTGCACATTTTTTGCCGAAATTTTTACCTGCGAGGAAGACACATTTCAAGTTGTAACTCCAATACAGCGTCCATACTGGAAATATTATCCAAACCGAGGTAATGTGTGGGTGACCACCCAAAACGTAACTCACAATGTTACAATAATTTGTAAAAACGTCAGTTCAATTAGACACATTGTTTACAACTACAGCGAAAAACCCTACAACCAAACTTTGAAAATCGTCAATTCTACAGTTTCTGCAATACGCCCAAACGAACTCTCCAGTTTTTCAACAATAATCGCACTTCACCTCAAGAATCTTCAAATTGAAAGTATCTTGCCAGGAGCGTTCAATGGTCTCACCAGACTTAAAGAACTGTACCTCAATGATAACAAATTATTAGAGATTGTCAACGGTGTTTTGAATTCGTTGCACCGTCTAGAAGTTCTGGATCTACGCAACAATCAAATTTGGAGATTTGACACACATTCTTTAATGGGAGCTGCCAACTTAAGAAATCTGTTCTTGAACCAAAACAATTTGTCCGTGATCGAGGATGGAGTGTTCGAAAATTTGTCTCACTTGACGTACGTAGACGTGTCAGAAAATCCTTTAGAAAAATTCCCATTTAATGATTTGACGAGCGTCAAAACGTTAATTGTGGCAAAAACGGAACTCACAACTATGGAAAACGATTTTTCCAATTTGACAATGAAATTGTTGAATGTGTCACACAACCAAATACAGCAGGTTGACTTTTCATACTTGCCAACACTCGAAATAATAGATATTTCTAACAACGAAATAACGACCGTCGAAAATGGTAAAAATTTTGACGCTGTGGAAGTAAAATTGGATCACAACAAAATTGCAAACATCGATGGAATTTTTAAACGTGTAACTCAATTATCAATAAGTCACAATGAGCTTGAGGAACTTGAAGTGATGTTCAACGGCAGCGAAACCCTGATTTACCTTGATTTTAGTTACAACAGAATTTCAAAAATTGATAAAACGTTCTTCCACGGTATGAAAAATTTAAAAAGTTTGTATTTACAAAGTAACAAAATAAGTGATATTGACACAGTTTTATTTAGAGATTTATCAAATTTAGCAATTTTGGACTTGTCTCAAAACCAGATTAAACAATTTCAATATGGAGCTTTGGACAGTATGGTGAACCTTGCAACCTTGAACATTTCTAGTAACAAATTATTGGATTTGCACCAGTATACATTTAACTCTCTCAACAGTCTCAGCGGGTTGTACTTTGACAACAATCGGATTTCCTCTTTTGACGTAACCGACCTTTCTACTCACCTTCCTCGATTACGGACTATTTCTCTCAACCACAACGCGTGGAGTTGCAGAGATTTAGTAAAAATACAGCAGGTGTGTCAAAAACACCGAATAAACATCCTTCCAGGACTCTCCTACGAAGTGGAAAATTTTCGGGGAATTGCGTGTTCTAATTCAAACGAGTTTGTTCCTGACAGTAATGTTTCTATTGTATCCGCCAAAGAAGTTGCTCAAAATATTCAGAAAGGGATTGACATTGGAATGGAAAATTCGAAAATGGAACGATTTTTTAACGACGAATTTGGCCAGTCGAAACTTGTGCAATATTTTGACAAAGATTACAGTCAAAGCAGTTTCTTCAAGTTTCTTAATAATTATAAGTTTACAATTGTAACACAACATTTGAATGATACCAGTGTGGGGAAGTTTACAGAGCTCCAGGTAAATCCATCTGAAACTAATGACAAAATTCTAATTTTTGGAGTTGTGCTTCTATCGATTGTGGTAGTTTTATTGATACTGATGTTTTGTATGGTTTCTAATTACATATATAAATTGAAATTTCACAGTTCATCTCAAATGGAGTTATGTTAAAGACGTTATTCATTGCATTGTCATGGACTATTACACTACGATCTGTAATTATTGTAAATATACAAGATGTTCCATTGGGTTACACACTCAAGTTATATATTTTTGAATGGAACACCTATTATATATATATACAGATGTAGATTATTTATTAGAAAAGATGAAAGAATGCTTTGATTACCAGTGAGCGTAAGCTAAGAAATTGTTGAAATAGGATCCATCCGACGAATGACTACTTTCATGTTTTCTCGACGTTGCATGTATCTTGTCTGTGTTAATTTTTATTAGACGTTATCTCCGAAATTTAAAATAGTAAATGTTATTTAAATTTCATAAAATAAGATACTCCTGTACTTGTGCTTTATGAATCTCTTTTGAGTTTTACCTAGACATACAGAAAAAAAATAAAACAAAACTTAATAAGAAGATTTTGCAATTTAACTTAGAAAGAACAAAAACAAATGCTCTGAAATAAAGTAAATTAAATAATTAATAATTTTTCTTGTCTCTCCCCAAAAGTAATGATTAAACCATTCGCAAAACCAAATTTTATAACTTTACTAAATGTACTGTGCTTCTAAGGCCAGGCAAGCTTTATCTAAATAACCTTCGACTAATTTTTTTGTTCAAATTTCTTTAACGACATTTTCTTAAATGAGTTCATTATAAACCACCCTGGTAAAAAGCAAAAACTGTGATTAGTGATTTATATTGTCGACGATAACCTTATAGCGATAGCTTAAAAATAAAAGAAATTTGAAGCAGTTTCTTCGTATATCTCAACTGAAACAAAATTCCGTAGTTCCTTGCAGCACGTGATAGACTTATCAATAAACTGATAGCAGAAACCCCACTGCACTGGTGTTTACGATGCTTTGTTTTTAATATTCTACATATCTACATGTACATAAGTCATAAATATCTACATTAGCGCTTCAATTGTGCTATCAAAACTGTTTCTGAAACTATAATCAGTCTGGTTTATTACTGGTTAACTACTGATATATTTAAATGAATTGCTGTATAAAGTAAATTTGACTTTCAGTATTATTAATTTTTTGTAAGATTAACTATTTTTGTTCTAGAAAACAAGTAGAATGTTTTCAGTGCTATTGTTGTTTTTTCATTTAATATCTTCTGGGTTCTGTGTTACGTGTATTGGCGAAGATTATGGTGTGAAAATCATTCCTATTGGGGAAACTTGCGATGATTTTGGTTGTGGACTCACAATGTATAAAGATGTTGGCGAAATTTTAACCATAACGTGCTCTACAGTTTATTCCATAAGTCAGATTTCTTTTCCCATCGAAGAATATTACGAAACAGTGTCACTAATAACGACAAATTCGAATATTTCAGCTATACATTTAAAGGAATTTCATAATTTGTCACGGTTAACTGAAATCTACTTAAGGAGAAGTCACATCAAAAATATTTTACCAGGAGCATTTATAGGACTGTCAAATTTAACAAAACTTTATCTGGATGACAACGACTTGACAGAAATTTTAAATGGAGTTTATAATATTTTGCATCACTTAGAAATTCTCAGTCTCACTAACAATAACATCGTTCAGATCGAAAAAGCAGCCATAGCAGGTCTCAAGAATTTAAAAGAATTACACCTAAAAAATAACAAACTCACCAAAATTGACAACAATTTTTTTGAAACGTTAATTCACTTGACGTATGTGGACATTTCAGAAAATCCGCTGGACCAATTTCCACTCAGCGAAGTAACAAACGTTGAAGATTTACTTTTAGCAAGAACTAATTTAACCGATATTAGTGAAGATATGTCTAATTTGACTCTAAAACTACTGGATTTGTCATTTTGTCAAATCTCCGAAGTTGATTTTGCTTTCTTGCCTCAAGCTGAAGAAATTAATTTATCCGGTAATGAAATATTTTCATTAAAAAATTTTCCTTCGCTTGACACTCTAACCCTTAATCTAAACAACAACTGCCTCGAAGAGTTGAATGGAAGTTTTCCACAAATTTCAAAGCTCTATTTGAGTCACAATAAATTCCGGGTTTTAAACAAAACAATATTTAGGGCGCCAGGATTATTGTTGGTTTTTGAAGTAGGCTACAACTCTTTGCCAAACTTTGACAACGATTTTTTTCACGATTTTATATCTCTGGAAATTTTGAAGCTTCAGTATAACAAAATTACCGAAGTGAGTCCTTTGTTGTTCAGGTATTTAACCAACTTGATTGTACTAGATTTATCTGGAAACCAAATCCGCGCATTGCAATATGGCGTTTTTGATAGCTTAAAAAGTTTAGAAAGTTTGAATATTTCAGGAAATAAGTTAGTAGAACTACATCAAAATATGTTTCACTCATTATCAAAATTAACTAGTTTGCACTTTGACAGTAATCAGATATCCTCTTTAAATCCATACGATTTTCGTAGTCATTTTCCGAATCTTACAGAAGTATCACTCGATAAAAACCCTTGGATTTGCAGTCACCTTGTCAAGATCGATATGGTGTTCAAATCGTTAAAAATACGAATTCTTGGGGGTAATTCTTACGAAGTTGAAAATTTTCGTGGAATTCCTTGTTCCAGCTCTAAAAATTATAACACGTCTCTGAATAGCACCGATTCCATTTCTTTTGCAGACTTAGAAAAAAATATCCAGAAAGCAATTAACAGAGGCATTGAGAATTCTAAAATAAACCAATTTTTTAACGAAAATTTTGAAAACTCAAATTTTATTCAATTTTTTAAGAAAAACTATGTTAAAAGTGGCTTTTTTAAATATTTAAACCGTGTCAAAATCGCTTCTCCGAAAGAAGATGCAAATGGTACAAAAGCGGAAGAATTTACGGCTTTAAAACAAACATCGGACCATTATTACAATGGAATCGTTGTAATCAGTGTAGTTACGCAAATTGTAATGTTGTCATTGTTGGTAATAATAATTTACTTATTGTTTATTTTTGTCAAAAAGTATAGATATTTTGAGGCACAGCACACGATCTCAGAGATAGAACTGTGTTAAATTAACAACATATAATACCTTTCTATATTTTATTCTGCTAAATTACAATGTATACTTAATGTTAAATATACCATTATTTCCTCCGATTAGTGTCTTTTATTTTTAATTATTATTTATGTGGTGATTTCAAAAATCATACCTTCATAAGGAAAATATTTAGTCTATGATTCCGAGTCCACTAAAAGATATAATAAGGTAAGTGCTTAAATGTACATAACCATATTTTATATACAGGAAGAGTCAGCAAAAAGGAGGCAAATATTTTATAGAAACAAGGATTTAAAAAAATCGACACAATTTAATTTTTACTTCCCGAGCGTAAGCAAAGGAAGTGTTGTAATCGAGTTCGTCGGCCGACTCTCCACTTTCACGTTTTATCGACTTTTCATTACCCCTACAGGACGAAGAAATAGGTCTCCCGTTTCCGTCTGTCTGTCTGTCCGTCTGTCCGTCTGTCCGTCTGTCCGTTTGTTCGTTTATCCGTTTGTCCGTCTGTCCGTCTGTCCGTCTGTCCGTCTGTCCGTCTGTCCGTCCTTCTGCCGTCACGTATTTTTATTAGACAGATAATCTCCGAAAGTACTGTGCCGATTGTTGTCAAATTTTGATTTTATTAGGTTATCATGTAGTTGGTAGAACGCTTACCAAAATTTCTCTAAATATCCCCACCACTAATGCGATGACGTCACTTCAAATTTATACATAATAAATGGCTTTTAAATTGTATAAAATAACATACTCGTAGTCCTTACATATGTAGTTTGCAGTTTAATTTTGAATCCGCTAAACCGAATGCTTTGAAATATTGCAGATATTTTAAGGTTATAAAGAGCATAATAAATTTTTACTCAAAATATATTTGGTTATCCCCTCCAAAAATTTGATGACGTCAGCTCAAATGTTTGCCAATAAATCCTATCTAAAGTGTACAAAATGTGATGAGTCTTTACTTGTAATTTATCATTCCGTTCATATTTTTTGGATTTGCATATATAGGGTGACACAAAAAAAATAATGAATGCGTAAATTTAGTTTATTGAGTTACTCGGGAACTACAAAACCGAATACTTTGAAATTTACTGCGAAAAATACATAATAGGCATGCAGTCGTCACGTTTCCGACAGAGAAGGAAGTACTGTCCAAACTTTTTAGACCAATTTTTTGTAAACACTTCCATTCAAGAAAATTAGAATAAAGTGACAAACTACCAAAATTTCAAAAATCAATTATAGTAGTCAAGCCTAAAAACAAATCAATTAAACTATCTAAAAATATATAGGGCCCTTCATTAAAAAAATGTAAGTTGTGTTGCGCCTTAAAAGCAGTATACTTTGTATAGCTAAAAATAATTTTAGAGTGTAGTCTTGAAAAAAGAGTACAATTTTGATCTTTGTCTTTTTTTCTGTTTCTAGTAGTCAATCAGATATCGAGAAACTCGGGCTTAATAACTCACCCTGTATATACGGAAATTCTGGTTTACCCAGGGTGAGTCGCTAAAAAAGGTCAAACAACCATAAGGAAGTATTGTAATCGAGTCCATCGGCCGAATTTAAACTTTCGTATTTTCTCGACGTGTCATGACTTCTAGACTACGAAAAAGATAGTCTCCCGTTTCCGCCTGTCTGTCTGTCTGACGGTCTGGTGTCTGTACCATTTTTATTAAACAAGTAATCTCCGAAACTGCTGGACAGATTGTTGTTAAATTTTGTACGTATATTAGAAATATCATGTAGATAGATGGTTAAATGCTAACCAAAATTTGGCTAACCGTTTTCACCAACAATTTGATGACATCATCTCAATGAACCATATTTTAAAATGGTTTGAATGTTTTACTAAAATATATTCCTACAAAATCTGGTTTCAGTTTTTTCACTAAACGTTCAAATTTACGCGAAAACATTCGCAAGGTATAATAAGTTATATTACAACAACAGAAAATATAAGTCTTCATGATCAGTGGGTTTCTAGGGGAACCGGGGACCTGCAGTCGTGGGTTCGATGCTGAAGTTTCCTTTTTTCTTGCACTGGTAATACGCTATGACTACTTTTTTTTTGTGCCGTGACTATATCACATGAGAAAAATGTGAAAATATATGTTTTCATTTGAAATTAAAAAGTCAACTCTCGTTTGGTGTTTATGAAAAAACACTGTATCATCTGATGTTTAGTTGCGCTAATAAATAATAATAGTAGTAATATATTTATTCCTTTGCACATTACATTTTAAATCCATGGCATTTATTTTTACTTCCCGAGCGTAAGCTAAAGAATTATTGTAATAGGGTCCATCCGACGAATGACTACTTTCATGTTTTCTCGATGTTTAATGTACCTTGTTTTTGTTAATTTTTATTAGAGAGCCTTGTAAACCTTTTAAGGTTATTATAAGTATAGTAAATAAAATAATTAATACAAATTTTTTTGTTCATGCCCCTCCCCAAACGTGTTGATTAAATTCTTGGCAAAATCAGATTTCATAATTTTTCTAAATCTATCGATTCGGTAGATAGAGCACAGCCACACAACAGATGACAAACTACAAGCTGATGAAACGTGAAACCGACGTCTATGTATTGTGAATGCGATAAATGCCAAGTGCAAAAAGAGCGTGTTGCAAGGGTCGGTTGTAGCTCCGCTCTTATATCTTATCTACATTAATGATCCGGAGATTGGTAACACTATCATTTACGCTGACGATACTTCCTTAATTGTATGCAATTCGTTAAAAATTTAATTTTGTATAGTAAATATGTTTGCAAGACACATAGTATTATAGTACTTTTGAAATAATATAATTATTTAGTTGTGAAAAACTGTATATGTATGTATAAACTGTTTAAGAAGACATACACAAAAAAATCTAATATTTGTGTAATCCATTAAAAAATTTAAGATTGTTTAAAAATAAAGGAATTTTTCATTGGAATGCTTGTCCTAGAGTGTAATTAGTTTATAAGCAAAGATTTTGATCAAATTTTAAATTAAACGAAATTTTGAAGCAATTTCTTCATATCTCAATTTAAACAAAATTCCGTAGTTCCCCTGCAGCACGTGATAGAGTTATCAACGAACTGATAGCAGAAGCCCCACTGCACTGTTGTTTCCGATGTTTCGTTTTTAATATTCCACAGACATGTACACAAGTCACAAATATCTATATTAACGGTTCAGTTGTGCTATCAAAACCGTTTCTGAAAATATAACCAATCTTGCTTATTACTGCTTTACTACTCATGTAAATGAATTGACATTCTAAGTAAGTGTGACTCTCAGCCTTATCAATTTTTTGTAACATTAGTTGTTTTTGTTCTAGAAAAGAATGAGAATGTTTTTAGTGCTATTGTTGTTTTTTCATTTAATATCTTCTGGATTCTGTGTTACGTGTAGTGGCCAAGAATATGGTGTGAAGTCCATTGCTCTTGCCGTACCTTATAATAAGTGCAATGGCTATTATTGTAGACAGATAACACATGAAGATGTTGGCGTCAATTTAACCATAACGTGCTCTACAGTTTATTCCATAAGTCAGATCTCTTTTCCTATTAAAGAATATTACGAAACGGTGTCACTAATAACCACAAATTCGAATATTTCAATTATACATTTAATGGAATTTCATAATTTGTCATCGTTAACTGAAATCTACTTAAGAAGAAGTCACATCGAAAATATTTCACCAGGAGCATTTATAGGATTGTCAAATTTAACAAAACTCTATCTGGATGGCAACAACTTGACAGAAATTTCAAATGGAATTTATAATATTTTACATCACTTAGAAATTTTCAGTCTCACTAACAATAACATCGATCACATCGAAAACGCAGCCATAGTAGGTCTTAAGAATTTAAAAGAATTACATCTAAAAAATAACAAACTTACCAAAATTGATAACAATTTTTTTGAAACGTTAAATCACTTGACGTACGTAGACATTTCAGAAAATCCGCTGGACCAATTTCCACTCAGTGAGGTGTCAAACGTTGAAGATTTACTTTTAGCAAGAACTAATTTAACCGACATCAGTGAAGATATGTCTAATTTGACTCTAAAACTACTGGATTTGTCATTTTGTCAAATCTCCGAAGTTGATTTTGCTTTCTTGCCTCAAGCTGAAGAAATTAATTTATCCGGTAATGAAATATTTTCATTAAAAAACTTTCCTTCGCTTGACACTCTAACCCTTAATCTAAACAACAACTGCCTCGAAGAGGTAAATGGAAGTTTTCCACAAATTTCAAAGCTCTATTTGAGTCACAATAAATTCCAGGTTTTAAACAAAACAACATTTGGGACGCCAGGATTAATTTTGGTTTTCGAAGTAGGCTACAACTCTTTGCCAAACTTTGACAACGACTTTTTTCACGATTTTACATCGCTGGAAATTTTGAAGCTTCAGTATAACAAAATTACCGAAGTGAGTCCTTTGTTGTTCAGGTATTTAACCAACTTGATTGTACTAGATTTATCTGGAAACCAAATCCGCTCATTGCAATATGGCGTTTTTGATAACTTAGAAAGTTTAGAAAGTTTGAATATTTCAGGAAATAAATTAGTAGAACTACATCAGAATACGTTTCACTCATTATCAAAATTAACTAATTTGCACTTTGACAGTAATCAGATATCCTCTTTAAATCCATACGATTTTCGTAGTCATTTTCCGAATCTTACAGAAGTATCACTCGATAAAAACCCTTGGATTTGCAGTCACCTTGTCAAGATCGATATGGTGTTCAAATCGTTAAAAATACGAATTCTTGGCGGTAATTCCTACGAAGTTGAAAATTTTCGTGGAATTCCTTGTTCCAGCTCTAAAAATTATAACACGTCTCTGAATGGCACGGATGCGATTTCTTTTGCAGACGTAGAAAAAAATATGCAGAAAGCAATTAACAAAGGCATTGAGAATTCTAAAATAGACCTATTTTTTAACGAAAATTTTGAAAATTCAAATTTTATTCAATTTTTTAAGAAAAACTACGTTAGAAGTGGCTTTTTTAAATATTTTAACGGCGTCAAAATAGCTTCTCCGAAAGAAGATGCCAATGGTACCAAAGCGGAAGAATTTACGGCTTTAGAAGAAACATCAGACCAGTCTTACAAAGGAATCTTTGTAATCAGTGTAGTTACGCAAATTGTAATGTTGTCATTGTTGGTAATTATAGTTTACTTAATGTTTACTTTTGTCAAAAAGTATAGATATTTTGAAGCACAGCAAACTGTCTCAGAAATGGAACTGTGTTAAGCTTACACCATATTTATATATTTTATTCTGCTAAATTACAATGTATACTTAATATTAAATATATCATTATTTCGTTTGATTATGTCTTTTATTTTTAATTAAGTGGTTATTTCAAAGATCATAACTTCATAAGGAAAATGTGCAGTGTATGATTGAGATTCTACTAAACGATATAATAAGGTAAGTTCATATTTTATATACAGGATGAGTCAGCTAAAATGAGGCAAATCTTTAATAGACAACACGAATTAAAAAAAATCGCCACAATTTAATTTTTTTAATTTCCTACCTGAATTTTTATTTTACTATAAAGTGTGAAAAAATACTCTACAGAGAACAATATTCACTATTATTGCTAAACTTTATCTTAAAACACAAAATAGCATATGTACAGGTTCTTCGAAAAATTATAAAATTATAGTTTGAGAATTTTTTTATGATAATCACTATAAATTCAAATAATATAACATTTTATTTATAGTGATTGTTTACAGCTTCGAAAAATTGGTCTAAAGTTATTTAGACAACAAGTAATTATGGAAAATTTATTTTTTATGATAACCCCTATAGGATAAAACAGAGTTCTGGACTCTTAAAATACAGATAAATAAGCATGTTATATTGTGTCCCCAAATTTTCAAGAAAGCCTTCTAGATTTTATCAAAAATAGGTTGCTTCATTCATGAATTGTTTTCAGTCACCTTGTATAAGTAAAAATATGAATGCATTGCTAAAACACAAGAATAGAGTCACAATATTTTGCATATCTTAGATACGATTTTTTGGGAGGTGAACTGCTAAATATTTATTAAAAATTCACCATGATTACGATAGCCTTAAAACTTCTACAAGATTTCAGAGCAGTCCGTTTTCTAGTTTCAAAGTTACATTGCAAAATGTTGTCATAAACTTTTGATTTTTTTTTGGAAATCCTGAATACCTAGGGAAAACTCAACACGGACTCATGAATTATTCATAAACAAGTGCAGTGTGGGAAATTGTATAAAATTTAGATAAAGCAAATTTTCGTGAGCCTTTTACCATCTTTAAATTCCTAACATAGATATAAAATTTGACAACAATCAGTCTATTTGTTTCGAACGTTAGTTGTCTATAAAAACAGACACAGACGGCGAATACAGAGAAAAGCTGACAGACAGATAGACGGAAACGGTAGAGCTATATTTTTGTACTCTAGGGGTCATGAGGCATGAAAACAATACTTCATTAGTAATAATAATAGTACTGCATACTAAAATTTTCTGGAAAATACGGTAAGCCGTTTCTGATTTCAACAATAAAATAACTCGCCTGAGTGAATATTTTTTAAGACAAGAATAAAAGACTGAGAATAATAGTTTACATCTTTAAGATAGGATTTATTCGGCAGAATCTTGGGATGACCTCATCAACTTTTTTGGAAAAAATGAACGGATAAATTTTGATTAACGATGTACAGTATCTGCGATGACCTGAAAACGTTTGCACAGTTTCACAGGGTTTGGTTTTGCAGTTTCCGAATTAAATTGTAAAATGTTATAAAATGTTAATATTTTTCAAAAATCTGTATGTCTATGGTGAAAACTCAACACGGATTCATAAACCACAATGGTCGGAGGATGTTTATTTACTGATGTAAATTTCGAAAATGACGTCATCCTATTGGTGGTGTGGATGATCAGTCAAATTTTGATTAGCATTTTACAATCTACATGAAATTCCTAATTTACGGATAAAATTTGACGACAAACAGTCCAATAAGTTCGGAGATTACCGTATAATAAAAATTGGAAGAGACATACAGCGACACACAGACGGAAACGTGAGATTTAATTTTTCGTATTCCAGGGGTCATGAAACGTCGAGCAAAATATTAAAATAACCATTCGTCGGATAAATTTGAAAAATTATTTAAAGTTTTCTTCGATAGAACTTCCCTTCCCCCTGCAGTAACGGGTATTAAATTAAATATCACTTGTAGTAGGCGTTGGTGGGGGTGATTGTACAAAATTTGGCTAACGATTCACCGACTACATGATTCACATAATTTGATAACAATCGGTCCGGTAGTTTTGGAGATTATCTGTCTAACAAAAATCGACACAGACAGTCCTAGTCTAGGGGTTATGAAACATGTAGAAAACATGAAAGTAGCAAGTCGCTTTATGGTTGTAATTTGTGAGGTCTTTAATCTTTGCTTTCAAAATGTATTAGATACTAAATATAAAAAAAAAAACAATTTTTCTTGCAGCACAAATCGATATGTATTTAAGAAATAAGTACTAGGCAAAATATTGTTCTTCAAATAAAATCTGCACTGGATTTTTTTTACAGACGGGTTCTCCAGGTCCTAATTACATAAACTAAACTTTTATTAATTACATATGCCCACCAGAAATTATCTTTGTTGTGCGTTATGTGTCACTAAGTTGAATCAGTCACATAATCACGTGCTGTTTCCGTACTTCTCTGAAACAGATAATATTTTGCTTATTCGTTATAATAAAAACCTACACATCGTGCCTAATGCCGATATGCTAACTTTTACTTTGTTGTTTATTATTGTAATGAAATTATCTGCATTTTACCAAGGTCTGCAAAATTTTTATTCATTGATTTGACAACGACATTCAAACATCATTGCAATATTTTATCAGCATTTTATAGACTATAAAGTCCTTTTATTTAAATTAGGTACTTCTTACTAAGAATACGAACAAGGTGCCTACGTAGTACTGTTTGCCTAACTTTCATTAGAATACAGGTTGTGTACTAATGAAGTCGAATAGGTTTCTTTACGACATAAATTGTCGATGGTGTCTAGATCCCAAAAGGTACGACGCCAATGGGCTTTTCCAAATATTATTTGACGATCTGCCGATTGTTATCAGCTTGAGACTAAAAAAAGACGATAAGATAAGTGTCGATTGTAGAGTCTACTTAGGTTCAAAGATCAAGCCAAGAATAATTTTTAAAAATGGCTCTTCTTTGATTAACATAATTGAAATAAAAACAGTGGAACGTGTTGTTCACAGAAAAATTATGTTCTAGCTACATCAATCTTATCAGTGCCACTCCAATATTATTTTTCGTATAGTAATAAAGTCCATTCAGTTTCATGTTTTCTCGACGTTTCATGACCCCTAGAGTAGGTACGAAAAAAGTGATCTCCCGTTTTCGTCTGTCTGTCTGTCTATCTGTCTGTCATCTGCGTTGATTTTTATTAGACACGAACATTTCGAAACTACTGAACCGATTGTTGTCAAAATTTGTATGTATATTTAGGAATATCATGCAGATTTTAAATCGCTAACCATCCCACCAACCGTTTGACAACGCCTCTTCAAAGAATTCTATTATAAAATGATTTAAATGTTATACAATAATATATCTCTTTCGAGTTTTTTCCCTAAACGTCCACATTTTCGCAAAAAAAATAAGACAGTATAATAGTATTATACCACTAACTGAAGATATAACCGTTGGTGACCTTGCAGCTAAGGTACCAGCAGGCGGCCGACGCTCGCACGTTCGATGCCAATAAAATCATAATATTCAAAATATTCATCGAACTAATTTCTACGTGAAATTCTTTCGATGTATAAATATAAACATTTGAAGTTGAAAATCCCAAAAGCAAATTTTATAATTTTTTAAAGAAACTGGATTTGTGGATTATACTTCAAGGGTGAGGAAAGTTCGGTGGAATTAACCTTTGACAATTTTTTGTAAAATTATTGTAATACAAATCAAGGCGGTTACGTAAACCCCAAGTAGAGCAGAGTATTATTTCATAAATTTGGGAACGGTTAGACAAATTTTGGTTAGGATTTTACCACTCTGACCCTGGAAATATATTTATTATAATTGTCATTATTTAAAAAAAATGAAATGCTCCTTCCCTTCAAGACGTTACTTTTAACGTTTCAAAGTACTCTGATTTCTGATAAACAGTCGTTGACTACAGAAAATTAAAAAATAAATAGGAGTATATTATTATAAGTTATAAGCTTTAATAGATAAACTTGGCGTCAAGAAAACTTCGTAATTTGTTTATTGAATTTTTCTAGTAATAGAATTACAATTCACATTTTGATCTAATTTTCAAACTTTGGGTTAAAACAAGGAACCAAAATACATTCACAAATATAATTATTTCTTAACGTACGTATACACAATGATTTAAATCTTTTCCATATGGTGTTGATATCTCCCACGACTAAACCTTTTCAAAAAACTAGACATATAAAAGAAACCACAAACCAGTGTGCAGATTACAAGTACTTGACACATTGCACTAAATATTAAAATTCTTTTTTCAAAACTGCTATATCTATCTTGGAAAGCAGTCAGTTTTTCCACTTTATTATCGCTAATATTTGAGCTACCCATAACCCGACTATTCAAGTATTTAAAGAAACCGCTTTGACTATAATCATTATCAAAATACTGAACAAACTTTGATTTAGGAAAGCCCTCATTAAAAAACTGTTCTAATTTCGAATGTTTGCCATTTTCGTCCGTTTGATAATTTTTCAGTGAATTAGTAAACTCACCCTCATTTTGACAAGCAATTCCATGGAAATTTTCGACTTCGTAGTCGCGCCCTTCTTTTATGACAATATTCATGGTCTTAAAAGCTTGCTTAATGTTCACAAGCTCTTCACATTTCCACGGATTTTTGTCCAAAGAGACAAAATTTAGCCTTGCGAGATGGGTTTTCAAATTTTTGGCGTCAAAAGTGGAAATGCGGTTATCGCAAAAATACAGCGTCCTCAAATTTGCCAAAGAATTAAAAGTAAATTGGTGCAGGTCTCTGAGTTTGTTGCCAGAAATATCCAAAGCTTCAAGATTTAACAAACTGTCAAAAGTGCCGTATCGAAATTCTTGTAAATTATTATGTGACAAATTTAAATATCTCAAGTTGCCCAAATCTTTAAAAAGAACGGTGTCTATTTTAGAGACGTTGTTATACTGAAGGTCTAAGTTGTTTAGCGACGTTAAACCCAGGAAAGCGTAGTTTTCAATAGTCGAAATCTCGTTAAAACTAAAATCTATACTAATCACGGTTTCAGACGCGTTGAAGAGAAAATTTTGCAGAATTTCTAGTTTGTTGTGACACATTGTGAAATGAGTAACGTCGCCGAATGTCCCATTGATAACTTCAATTTCATTGTGGCTAAGATCAACGCGAATACTAGTAAGATTTTCACAACTGTCTACAATTTTAATTTTGTTGTCTGACAAATCGATAACGTCGACACTCGGAAATAGCGAAAAGTCGATCTTTCTTAGCTGATTTGATGACAAGTTCAGGGTTTTAATTGCGAGATGTAATAGGTTATCATCGAATTCTTCTAGCAAAGTCCGTGAAATAATTAAAGTGTCTAGACTAGACACACTTTCCAAAGAAACTTTCGTCAAAGGATTCTGTGATAAATCCAAATAACTTAAATGTTTTTGCGTTTTCAACAATTTTTTATCAAAAGTTTCTACTTTATTGTTTTGAAGATGTAATATCATCAAGTTATCCGCACCTGTGAACGCCATGTCTTCAATATAATGAATTTTGTTGTTGTTTAGGGTCAAAATTTCCAGTCTGTGGAGGGAATTAAACACCCCTTTTGATATTTCTTCAAGGTTGTTGTCACTCAGGTGCAATTCTTTAAGGCGAGTCAACCCATTGAAAGCTCCAGGAAGAATTGTTTTAATATTTAGTTTTGTTAAAAAAAGTTTGGTTATGGTGACGAAAGTTGTAAAAGCACACTGATTTATTAATGAGATGTTTGAAAATTGAATTTTAAGATGTTGTTCGAAATTTTGTTCTTCGAAAGGATACTTGATTGATTCTGTTGAATAAATGTTAGAACAAATGATAGTTCTGGACTTGACACGTGTTATAAAAATTGGACTTTCAGTTGTTGTTTCAATGTAGTTGTATTCATATACATTTCTTTCTCTGTAAGACTGAATAGGCTGTGGTTGCTCTATATTTTCCAGAATATCTTCATTATGACAAGCTAAGTTCATGCATGTGCAAACTATCAGCAATAAATACGCAATTATTAATTTCATATTCTGAAAATAGAAGAGAATTACACTTGATGGATTTTTACTCATATTTTATTTCACACAGACCACGATGTTGTTACACAAAAATATTGATTCGTATTTGTGAGTACCTAAAATGTTTATTCACTGTTTTGGAAATAACAAATGAAAACCGACAAGAAGGATGCCTTTATATTAAATAAGTGAATTATGCACGTTGGACTCATAAAATTTGATTGATTCTGCAAAACAGAGTGGCGAAAACATCTTACGTCATAAAATACTTTGTTAGATATTTTATAACCTCAGATTTGAAAGGTCAACTGGAGGATGGGGATTATTTTATTAATTGATTAACAGTTTATAATTACGAGCAAAAGTTTTTTTCTGGTGCACTTTACTCAGATTAAGTATAAGTGAAGTCCGTGAATTAAAATTATTATTATTATTATTAGCTCTCGGATTACCTGACGTTTAGACGAGACCATTGGGAGACAAATGACTTTGAACCTTTCATGGTACGAAAGCTGTGTTCGGCCAGAAGATAATCTGGAGACTACTACTCTTTTGGTAGTTATCACGTACTAGGCATAAGGTCCCAATACTATCTGCGAATTCTGGGATGGGCCTTACATACTTATGTTTTATAACGGAGCAAAAACTTTGACGTTAGCTTTCACAATAGTTTTGGTAGTCAAATACATTGGTTTGTTTTTTTTTCTTTCTGTGATCCGAGCGACGTGCTCAGACCAGGCAAGATCTGATGTAGTCGAACACCCAGATCGGAGCAAGTATTCGTTTTGGAAACCTCGACACCATTAAGGTAGTCACAGTTGTGACGGTTTCGTTCTTTGAAATGGGATACTGTACCTACACTTTGACATATTTAAATGAGAATTACGTAGGTACAGGACCAAGTGCAAATCAGGTGAATTCTGTGTCTAAAATCATACACTTCTCGCTGGAGTAAAGTTTTACGTCGTTGGCACACATTGAGCATTTAGATTTCAAGCCCTTGGGGATATCAGGTGTATAAGCATTGGTCCGAGTACGGAGCTTTGGGGGACTTCGCTCAGTACCCTAACCGGGAGTCTAATAAATGTTTTTCAAACTTTTTCGTTAGAAATGATTCACGATTGTCACACAACACGACGTTTTCTGCAGATGGATGATCCTTCCGGACTTCGGTAAATGTTGGTGGTAGTGACTCCTGCACGCTGGAATGACCGAGCCGGAGTCGCGAGATTAGGACTTGGTCCTGCCGGGTGCTAGGTAGAGGCAACCGTGTTGTGACGTTGGGCTGGATTTTGTGGAGATGGGAGGGGTTGTGAGTCCCATTTGCGATGTCAGGATGCGAAATTGAGAGTTCGAAAGAGGGTTGCGAATTGCCTGAAAGTATCGCTTCCTTGGCTAGGGTATCCGCCGTGTCATTGCCCGTTATCTTCATATACAAGGGGACATAGCAGAAGTGAATTTCTTTGCCCTGAAGCCGAAGTTGCTGAAATTGTTCTTGGATGCGAACTACAAATAGATTGACTGGAAACCTTGAAGGTTTGCAGCTCCCTCATGGTGTCCGTGAAAAGGACTAAGTGGAATTCTTGCAGATTGGTGATGTGGTTAAGGTCTTCCAGGATAGCGTATGGTTTCCCAGTCAACACGCTGTTGTAAGTTGGAAGTGAAAATTGGAGAACGTGAGGAAACTGCGATGTTAAAGCTCGGTACTCTGCCTGAATGGCGGAATGTGGTGTGGTGTCTGTTTTGTATATAGACAAAGAGGTATTAACCGGCAGTGGCGAGATGACCCAGGGAGGGTTTGAAGTAAAAGTGTAAGAAAGTGTCTGAGGGAGACTGAATAGGTTGAGCTGCTGGAGGTCACTACGTAGTCTTTTATTGAAAGGATTTTGAAGATCTGAGTCAGTAGTTAATTTCAAGATTCGTTGTCTAAGAGGATTGTTCGGGTTTCTAGCGATGTGGACCGCATAACTGAGTGGAAGATAGTGTAAAAGATCAACGATGGGGAGTTCATTTACTGAGCGTTGTAAGCTAAAAATGGTAACGTTCGAAACGCGTCCAACACGAGTCTAAGAGCCAGTGGCGTAAATAGCACCCCCGCAGACCCCGCAATGCGGGGGGGCGTAGCGTCAAAAGGGGCGCAGACCGTAACGTAACCGATATATTTTTTTAAAATTGTAACGGATTTTTATTTAATTTTGAATTGATTTGCATTCGAAGTGGTGGCGCATCTATCACGCGTAGTGTTGGTGTGAGCTACGGGAAAAAACGGGGAGAAAAAGAGAGATAAGAACAGAGGAGATAGCGGGGCGGGAGCGAGGCGGGAGCGAGGCGGGAGCGAGGAGGAGCTCGGGAGGAAGACAATCAAGTTCAGGAGCCTCCGCCGCCTACGCTGAGGAGAGAAGAGGTGCCCTTCCGCATATTTTAACAGTGATTGGCTTATCGTATGTAATATCTTTAATAATATCATTTGTCGTAAACGTAGTTTTATTGGGCTCGGGTTGAAACCCACTTCGTGAGGTAACAATAAAGTAGCATTTATTTGAAATCCGGTAAGTAGGTTACGAAATGTGCAATTTTTAAAGGAAGGGGTTTTCATTTTAATTGAAAATCAGATCAGGTAAATTAATAGCTATTTAACGAACAAGTTTGTTAATAAAGGCGATTAATAATCGAGATATTTTAACGCGCGAGGAACGAGTTTTTATATTTTTTCTTTTTCTCAATTTGAAATTTTTCAGTTTTTGGATTTTTCAATTTTTTTTGTTTTCAGTTTTTCGTTTCTTCAATTTTTGATTTGCAGGTTTTCTAGTTTTCATTTTAGATATGTAATAATAATTATAGTTTTTATAAGAGTTGTTCACTTTTTCAATTTTTCGTTTCTTCAGTTCTACAGTTTTGTCAAATAAATGTTATATAAATTAATAAAAAGTAACAGTGTATCTATTGTTTATGAATCCGTGTTGAATTTTTATCGTCGACATCGAAATTTTTGTGGAAAAATAAAACAAAATTGAATTACAATTTTTCGACTTCTTGATTTCTCGATTTTTAGTTTACTTAATTTTTCGATATTTTAGTTTTACAATTTTTCAATTATTGCCTTTTTTAAATTTTCATTTTTACATTTCTCAATTCCTCTATTAATCAATTCTTTGGTTTTCCGATTTTTCCTCTTTCCAATTTATCGATTTTTGAAGTTTTCGTTGTTCCAATTTTGGGATTTTTCAATATCTCCAATTTTTTAATTTAAAATTTTTCACTTTTTTGATATTTCGATTTCTCGATGTTTCGATTTTTAAAATTTCTGATTTTTTGAATTTTTAATATTTTGATTTAGCGTTTTTTTTTAAGTTCAAATATGTATTTAATTTCGATTTCTCGGCTTTTCCATTTTTCAAATTATTATTTCTTCAAGTTTTTAGATTTTTAAAATTCTCCATTTTTCGATTGTGTTTTGTTATGCTTCGATCTCCCGATTTTAACCTTTTTAATGTGTATTCCAATTTTTCGATTTTGGAATTTTCGATTTCTTACATCTCAATTATTCGTTTTTTCGATTTTAAAATGTTTTTACTTTTCGTTCTTTTTTTCGATTTCTGGATTTTTAAGTTTTCGATTTCTCAATTTTTCAACATTTCAATTTTGAGAATGTCTTATATTTTTCAGTTTTTTGATATTTTCATTTTTCAACTTTTTAAATTTTAATTTTTCGACTTACCGGAAATCGATTTTCGGGTTTTTCAATTTTTCGACTTTTCAGTTTTGAGATTTTTCAATTTATCGATTTTTTAGTTTTTCGTTTCTTTAGTTTTTCGATTTTTCAAGTTTTCGAATTTTTAAAATTAAAATTTTTCAATTTTTCGATTTTATTTTTTTTTTACGTTCCGATTTCCCGATTTTAATTTTTTTTATGCTTTTCAATCTTTGGTTTTTCTAAATTTTCATTTTTCCATTTCTCGATTTCTCGATTTTTCGACTTTTTAATTTTGTGTTTTTTTTTAATGTTAAATTTTTCGTTATTGTAATTTTTCTATTTTTTAAATTTTAGATATTTAGATTTTTCGACATCTTGAATTCTCGATCTTTTTTCAGTTTGAATTCCTCGGTTTTTCGATTTTTCAAATTTCGATTTTTCAATCTTTCGACTTTTCAGTTTTGAAAATTTTCGATTTCTTGATTTTTGAGTTTTTGATTTTCCAAATTTTAGATGATTCAAATTTTAGAGTTTGCAAATTTCATGAGTTTTCAGTTTTTAATTTCGTCAATTTTTCGATTTGCAATTTTTGGATTTTCCAATTTTTCAATTTGAATGGTTTTTCTTCTTTCCCATTCTTCGATTCATTATTTTTTTTAGATTTTTAAGTTTCTCGGTTTTTAGTTTTTCATTGTTTCAATTTTTCACCTTTTCGAGTTTTTAACTTTTCGAATAAACAAAATCGAAAAATTAAAAAATAGAAAAATTGTAAAACTGAAAAAGTACAAAATGAAAGCTTCGGAAAATAAAAAAATTGGAAATCAAGAACTTAAAAAATCAAAGATTGAAAATGTAAAAAATTTAATAAACAAAAAGTTATAAAATCCAAAGAAACATTGAAAAATTAAAGGTAATGGAAAAATGAAAAATTGTGATATAAAATCAAGAAAATGAAAATTACAAAATCGGGAAAATGAAAATATGGAAAATCTGAAAAATATAGAAATTGAAAAATTCCCAAAATTGCGATGTTGAAAAATTGAGATAGCCAAAAATTTAAAAATCGAGAAATCGAAAAATTTTTAAAATTGGAAAATTGAGATATGAGAAATCGAAAATTCCAAAAATGGAAAAATTGAAAGACATTAAAAAATAAAAATCGGGAAATCGAAACATAAAGATTATAAACGGAAAAAATGGAAAATTAAAAAAATTGAAAATTTAAAATATATACTAGAAAAATCTAAAATTTTGAAAATCGAGAAACCAAGAAATCGAAATCGAAAACTTGAGACTTCAAAAGATCGAGAAATCGAAATAGGCCGAAATCGGAAAATTCAAAATTGAAATATTTACTTAAAAAAAAAGATAAACGGAAAAATCGAAAAACTAAAAAAATCGATAAACCTAGATATGAGAAACAGAAAATTCCAAAAATCGAAAAATTGAAATACAGATTAAAAAATTTAAAAAATCGAAGTTAAAAAATCGTAAAAAC